ACCAACAGTTCTCAATCGGTGGTACGCGTACCCCCAAAGATCACAACTACAAGTCAACACTTCAGAAAGTTGAGAACCTATGTTTCTACTTTAAGTTTCTAAATTTATAAATTAAATAATAAAAATTTAGAAAAGAAAAGAAGAAGAAGAAGAAAAAAAACTCTCTATAAATTTGCGGTTGTTTAGAAAGTGGATTAAAAGTTTCAATATAAAAGTTGAAAGGAGAAGTGACTCACCTTTATCCGCTGTAAAGTTAGAAAAAAAAATCAAGCTATCAGCAATATAATTCCAAGCAAAAGTTGCAGCTCAGACGATTTCCTGCAAACTTCCGTCTTGTAGTCTAGTACTTTCCTGTACAGAGAGCGAGTTGCGCAGTAAAGCATGCACTCACCCAACTATCTTTCAATCATCTGGCAGTTGATGGTTGGCACATTGTCTTCGGTCACGTCATCTTACATATCGTCTTGATGCATCTAACGTCACTAACTATTTAAATTAAAACTTGATTTTTACGTCATAATCTCCGTCGTCGTCGTCTTCCCCCCTTTGAAATCCAATCCTCGAATCGAAAGATATACATTAAAATTGTAGTATTTTTATCGATCGTCGTCTACAATGACATTTCCTTTAGTAAAACAATACTTAATTAGACTTATTTCTTCTCCGATATCAAAAGATGATGTGGAGAGTTTTAAATTTTTATATTTTAATAATAATAAAAGTAATGGGGTTGGGATATCCAGTATATCCCAATGTAGGGCATCCGAAGACATAAGTTTAAGTGACAGATGACAGTTTCGGGCTCGTTGTCGGCACTGACAGTCCAAGTGAAGATTACTAGTCGTTGACTACAATCTATGGGAAGACATTAAGGTTCGATTTACACACGGTTATATCAGAAAAGACTGCTGTTAGCTTTTAATCTTACTTTGATCATTCTGTAAGATGGCGGTTGATGCTAAAAATTGATACTTTCCGTGATAATTTAACCGATAACCAATCGATACAAATGATAAACATCGCACTTATTACTTAATTTCTTCCATTAATTTTAATTATAACTCAACAAATTACAGGTGTTACGGAGATTAAACTTTTCCAGTTAAGTTGTAAAGTCGAATGGGATGATGTACAGTACGATGCCATTCTAATTATAATTTTAATTCGACGTCTACATCGGCGTAATTGCTTATAGTAATGTAAAATATATGATGAAAAAATGGAAACGATGAGCATTTACCTCCTTTGCTTGTGTTACGTTTCCCATAAAGACCCATTTCCGGACATGAGAATCGACAGATGCATTCGTAAAATGCTAAGAGAATTGGAAAATTGGATATAGAGTGAAAATGAAACTGTCTTTTTTCCTTTACCAAATAAATATCTTGCGGATTTGTAAATTGCAACTAGCATTATATTCGATTTTTTATTATAAAAATAAAATGTCTTCCTTAAAGCAACCGTAAGTAGAAAGAACGATGCAAAGAAGTGATAATGTCAGACGAAAAATGATAATAAATGGCATTTTACTCTACCGTTTTAATCTTTCTATCAATTTTTAATTATAATCGTAATTTTTTAAATGGTATTTAACTTACTGTTAATCCTTAATTATCCTTTTTCCCCCCTCCTCTCTCTCTGCCAACTAAATATGGTTTTTCTCGTTTACAATTCCGAGAAAAACTGTTAAAGAATCGCCAGCTGCATTAATAACAATAGAAAAATTCGTATTAAATCTTTAAAAAAATAAGTAAAAAAAGTATTTTTTAATTTACATTTTGATTAAACTACTTCTACTTCTAAGCATTTTTTTAAATTTTTCCCCCGTAACTCGCTCTTAGATTTGGCAAAGGAATAAAAATTGTAATAGAGAATTGTTTCTAGAAATATGATTTAAAATTCTAGGCATGAAAATGCCTTCATGAGAATGGTAATGCCTTCCTTTAAGAGCACACGTACAGTACACGAGATTAATAGACTTATAAGTGAGGTATCGAAAGGTTTAATCATTGTTATCGTTTAATGTAATTCTTGAGATAATTACTACTCTTACGCAGCGTATAATTAAAATAAAATTCTTTCATTATGAATTGTTAAATTTCCTCATATAGAAATCATCTTATCTCTGATCATTGTGCATTGTTTTGCAAACATAATAAGCGTTTGTATTAAAGATCAAAGATGAAAAAATTCAATAGTAAATGTTGAATATAAATGCTTAAACAATCTCTAAATCGTGTTAAGACAATTAAACAACGGGAATTTTTTAATGCAGAACCTCTAATTAAACGCAGTATCATTTGAACTTAGCGGAAGAGAAAAAGATATTATTATCAACATAAGAAGTCCTCTGCGATTTTTATAAGATAGAAAGTTAAATACATTTCAACAAAGATAGAAATTGATTGGTTGAAAGAGCAGACGAAGGCGGAGATATGCTAATTTTACTTAATTTACTTCCATGTAACGGAAATTGTACTTTTAAACGAATCTTTTCTTTTTGTTTATTTGAATATTCACAATTACAAAATGTTTCTATTTTTATTCATTGATTAAATACGGATAAATTAAAGGAATTTTCATAATCAAAACTATTTATAATTTATTGTTTACTAAGAAAAATTAATTGGAATTACTTAGAATAATCAGACAGTACTTTCTTTCTATAAAATATAATTCAATTTCGATACAGAGAAGTTGAAGATTTCTTTATTTGAAGTATCTTAGTGAAAGTTTTAAATGATAATAACTTAATAAAATTACTTTCATCACCGTAAGTGGTCTTTTAAATGGAAAAACTTTAGCAGAAATGACTGATACTTTTGTAAATATTGTAACTTCTTTATCTTAATAGACTTTAAAATAACGCTGTTTTTGTTTATAGTGTATATACGGTTTTATCGTTTTAGTACGACGTGTAACGGATAATTTACTAGGTCCTTCGTTAATTTGGATACGTATCCGCTTGCCAAAATAAAAATCTCAAGCTAAAATAACAGATAAAAATTCAATTAACCTAAACGAAATTTTTATCTTTGTAACAGAGTGTTTCTACTAACGATCAACACTTCATGAATTCTGTATGAGTTGAAAACAAATAATCGGAAACTGTTGAGGTAAGTGAACTAACATAAAGCTATATAACGTCACGTTATCGCTATACCGAGTTTTCTACGGCTTTAACGAGTAGAATATTTACTAATCAACCGTTTTTTTTCGCTACTACACTGAACGTCCTATAGACATAAAATTAATGGAGAGAGAGCTTTACATAAGAGCTAAATTCTTCCACTTGTTTTTTGCTCCGATAAAAAACTTAAATGCCCTTAATATATTTTAAAAAATTATAATATTTTATAAGTAGAAATTCTGTTCATTAACCTTGATTTAATTTTAAAAATTAACGATCTGTTTATTAATGTAACTAGGACATAACGAAGTTCACGTAGGCAATTCGCGTTATATTCCTTCGTATTATGTTATTTTTTTAGGGGGATTTAATAAGATTTAACAGCAAAATTATAATATATATCCTTCCAAAGACAAGTATATTTTCAATTTTTTTAATTTTGTTCATTAAAAGCAAAACTGTTATCTAATAAAGTTTCGTAACTAACAAGTAAACAATTGAACAGCGGGATGAATTTATCCGAACCGACACTTTTACACACTCAAAGTTCATTTTAATAATCTCATTATATAATGAACTTTACGCTATTGGTTTTAAGCAAACATTATTAACTCTAATCTCTATAATAGCTAAGGCTGAATCTCTCCGTTCTATATATATTATAACCACGAAACACGAAATATAACGTATATGAAAGGTTATAAAACGTTAAAATTTTCATGCAAATACCTTGTCAAAGCTTTAACGATGATTAAAACAACGTTTTTAATGAGTTAATCAAGTTATAAACTAACTCCAACCCTACTCCATGTTGGACTTTTGTACTATGCACTCCATTGTTTCCTACTCTTATAACACAGCTTAATTTACTGACTTACTTGTCCGTTAAGGTCACGGCTGGTGAATCGAGTCACTCGAAAACCTGAATGGAATATAGAGTTATTCCCCCCTTTTGCTAAATCCCACGTTCGTTATAACTTAAAAAAGTCATTTCAAGTTCGAACTTCGAGTTTCGAACTCTAAAAAAAACATAGGGTGTGTCACCTTTTAAGGTTACTTATTTGTCACATGGGCGATCGTCTACTCGATGACGTCACGATCAATTTATCTCAGCAGGACAAAGCAAAGGTCACGGACCTGTCTGGACACCTACAGATTTTTCCCTAAGTAATTGACTCGCGTCTTTAATAAATTCATCGATTCCCCCCCCCGATTGATTCCTTTATGATTTGATTAATCATAAAGGAAAGCGATAAACACTTTTAAAAAAATTTCATCTTTAAATATTATTGTTTAATACATAGCTATATAACTTTTAGGTGTTTGTGTGTGTGCAAAAAATTATGTTTTAGAAGAATAATAAAAGAATTCTTTAACTAAACACTCACCTGGATAAGTAAGTATATAGAAACTAACAGAACACGGTCTGAAAACGCATATGGGGCAGATGGAAGTGAACATCTGTCGTTCAGACACGTCACAACTACGTCGAGGTAGCACGTACCTAACTGGCTGGATGCCGCCAGGTATTAAAACACACACGTCCGAACGGTCGAAGTGTCTCGATGATTTTAACGCTGATCATTTATATAAAAACATTCCACCAAAATCTAAGTAAGACGCCCCTCGAAATCAAAACCATTATCTTTAAAACACACACACACACACAAAAAAATGAATAATTAAATCGGCATTGTTATCAATTGATCGATATACCTAGGCACGTGGTCAATCACGATTGATGTCCACGCAGTACAACGACCTCGATGCTTGATTCTCGTTTTTTCTCTCTTTTCTTATTTTATATTCCTCCCGTTTTATATCCCATTCGACATACGAACAATAAATTTGACTTAAAAATAATTCTTACCTGTTTAAAAAATGAATGGCTCCAACTTGATTTTTGCGTGGTGCCATCTGTGGAGAGAAAATTGAAGTAAATCGTACAGTCGTTTATATAAATTTGTACAATGTATAAAAGTACATATAAATCATGTTATTAAACTTGTATAAGACATCAGGCGTTATTTATTGAAATTAATGTAACGTGTATAAATTATTATTTTTTTTAATATATTTTTTTCATGTAAACTGTATCTATATAGCTTTGACATTGCATGTCTCCTAACAACACATTAAAGTATAATATAGTAAATGGTAGCTTAAGATTACAGAAAATTATGTATTCTAGACCACACCCTGAACTAATTATAAATGAAACAAAGAGAATGTTATTTACTCTAGAGAATATTGTAAAAATTATTCTAGAAAAGTTTAAAAATAACTTTAATTTTTATATAGAAAGAGATGATTGATATTTTTAAATTTTCTTGTGGTTTTTTTATCATTAAAAAATGCTGCTTATAATGTATTAATTGACATTTTTTAAAATTTTCTATGGTTTATTCCATTAAAAGTGCTGAAGAAGCAGGTATTGATTGACATTTTTTACATTTTTAGGAGTTTTTTCCCATAAAAAATGCTGCAGATGCTGTATTAATTGACATTTTTTAAAATTTTCTATGGTTTATTCCATTAAAAGTGCTGAAGAAGCTGTATTAATTGATACTTTTTACAATTTTTAGGAGTTTTTTCCCATAAAAAATGCTGCAGATCTGTATTATTTAAGCAGATGTTGTATCAATTGATATACTTTAAATATTTTACTGTACTGTCTTTTATTGAAAAAAAAAGAAATGATACAAATGTTGTAGACCTTTTAATTGATATATTTTTAATTTTCTAGTGTTTTTATCATAAAAAGTTCTGCAGTTTTTGTATTATTTCAGACTTTTTTCTACTTATTCTAGCAAAACAATGATGATTAAATGAAGGAATTGTATTGGAGAAAGTGTTTTTTTCCTAAGTATTTGCGTGATAACTAAGCACTGTTTAAGTGTTCGTTGACCTTACTTAGCTATAACTTCCATTCAATTATTCATTTCAATTGTTAATTTACCTTTATATATATTTGCACGTCACATAAGTCAGAATTAATAATTACAAACCTGACCTACATTAGGTTATAGATGCTATTTTACATGCAATTCTTTTGAATAATTAATAACAGATGTATTGTTATCAAATTTCCATTTTTCTATATAACAACAGAATTATTTAACTATTAAAATTGGTCAATATAATATGTTTATTTGCCTTTGTTTTCTCTTACTTTTTGCTTATTTTATTACTATTTTATTCATAGTCTAATACTGATTTTGTTGAATCAGTATTAAGAATATAAATTATTAAAATTAAGAAAATTCTTTGATATTTCTTTTTTAATTATGTAATTAACCCTTCTTAATTTAATTATTTAACTATTAAAATCTTTACCTTTGTTAATTCTTTTACATGTCATTAATTTATCTAAACCTTCAGATATCAAACATCAGAGTAATTAATATATTTATAATGAATGTAATTATTCAACCATTTAAATATATTTATCTCTTATTTAGCAATTATTTTATCATTTATCATATGTAAATACATATACTTTATCCTTTTATATCCATTCATAATAGATCAATGACTTTAAATTACAAAGAATGGCTTCTTTATTAATTATCAAACAACTTTAACTACTTAATTTTTACAGTTTAGTATTTTATTTCTCATTTTTTCATTTAAAATGACTGCTCTGACTTGATTAACAACTTTGAATTGATACGAAGAAGAAGCTGGTATTTATTTATATTAATAAGTTTAATTAATTAAGATATGAAAAGTTGATAAATAAAACTAAATTTTTTCTCTTTATGTTCACCATTTTTTATATTTTTTTAAAGTAACATCTGAACAGATCAATGACATTAAGTAGGGATTACCAGGAATAATATCATACAGAATGGTTTTAATATACCAACCACACCCTAAGTTATAAAATTTATTTAAATTAGTTTCATATTGAACCACTATTATGTAAAAATCCTTCTAAAAGTCTTGTTATTATCTTAAAAAAAAAACATCTTCTAAACTCTTATTACTATCAAAAAACTCCTCTAAAAATACCTTCCAAAATTCTATTACTATTCTAATTCCTTACTATCTAAAGAATTTCTCTAAAAATCCTTCCAAAAGTCCTTCTAATTGCTCACTATCATCTAAAACTGGGTTTGAAAACCATTTAAAATCTCATTTATATTTAAAGATCCTTCTAAAAATCTTAACTTTATATTTATACTACCTCTTCTAATAATCTAAGTTATTTTATTCTCTAAAACTCTTCTAAAATTTTATTTTTTTCTCTCTAAAACTCTTCTAAAAACTCATTTACTCTTTAAAAGTCCTAAAAAAACTCATTTTACTCTTTAAAACTTCTCTAAAAACTCATTTTACTCTTTAAAACTCCTCTAAAAATTTATTTTGTTTCCTAAAACTCTTCTAAAAATCCATTTTATTCATTAAAACTGCATTAAAAATGAATTTTATTCTCTAAAAGTCCATTTTAAAATCCTCTTAACATCTAAAAACCATAGTATTATGTAAAAAAAAAAACAGAATAAAAGAAAATTACAGTTAAATCTGATAAAGCATAACCTTCAAACCTAAATATAATTACATTTCAAGAAAGGAAAACACACACACACACGAAAATGAAAAAAAAAACAGGAGTAATACAGTTTAAAGAATTACCTAAATTGAGTAGAACAGGTAATGAAAGTTTTCTAGCTTTTCTTCGCAAGTTGCAAAGTACATCCATACTAGTCCAGTCAAAGTGCAAATGAATCTCCGTTTACATTAGACGGGTCAAAATAGTAGAAAGAGTTGATTGAGTCGAGTCTCGACCCCTAACCTGCTTAGTTACTATTTTTGGATTTTTGTCGAGACGTCATTGTAAAGAGAGGCAATCTCTTCGATGAAACCTTCTCCTTTCCCTCCCTCCTTGTTTTTTTTTATAGATTTTTCAAGACTGATGAAGTAATGTCACTTTTAAACATATCCTTTCGGATAAAGCGCACTCCATTATGTAACATAGACAACGATTAATTTGACGTAACAAATCGCTCTGTATTTGATGTCTACAAGATAATACCATGTAATTTAGTAAAAGAAAATCGCTCGTTCGGTCTCGTACAAGGTCGAAACATTATTTTTAAAATGGAAATGACATATTTAAAGTGTATAGTTTGATAGAGTAAGTGATGTAGAATGGGATGCTGTGGAGGGTGGACTTGGCATGGAAACTATTAAGCGAGTTAACTATAAGCGAAAAATATGATAAAGTTATTCGAAAACTAAAAATAAGGTTAATGGAAAGAAGGGAGAAAAGTGTCCAGATGTTTAAGTGTAACCATAATAAACATTATATCCATAAAAGACCAAGGAAACTTGGAACTTTTGTGAACATCCAAAGTTGTTTGTGCCTGGAATTCACATTTCTTCTAACTAAATTCTGTTTCTCCTGATTCATCCAATAAACTAGTGTTACGAGGAAAAATTTAAATCAACTAAATCTCGATAAATATTTATCTTTCCAGATGATAAACATTTATTTCTTCCCCCTCTTCTTCTTCTTCATCTTCTTTTTTTTTGGGGAGCCATTTTAGTTTGTTAGATCCTGTTAGCGCCTCTCCATTTTGTAATGTTTAAAATATAATTTTCTGTTAAAGTTAAATCAATATTTTAAGATGATTAATAATAGGAACTGACGTGAGAATAAATTTAAATAATAGAATATAATTCAAGTAGGCGAGATGCTCGTTGGATGATGATTGAATAAAGATTTATTTTGATCTTTAAAGGCTCTTCATGCCCTAAATATGATACAGATTCTTTCAATTTACAATTACAAAATTATTATCGAACAATAGATAATTTTTCAAAAGTTTATAATTGAGTAATTAGATTTTTATCCTTTGTTTCTTGCTCTACTTTTCGTTCATTTTAAGCTTTAAACGATCATTGTAGAATGTATACGGAGGAAAATTTCATATATATGAAGGTAAAAGTGTGTACAAACATAATTTATGCATAGATAAATATGTAATACATCGAAATATATATGTTTTATAAGTATTTAAATGATAAAAATGTACTAAAAATGCATAGAAGTTGGAGTCAAATCTCTGTAAAATTTGATGTGAGAAGTGAAATATACTAATGTACGACTCTTTAAATGTCTAGTAGAAAAATTTATACTAAAATACGAATAATAAATTATTTTAAAATGTCAAAAATAAGGTTTAATAATGTAATAAATTATAAAAAAAACATATCAAACTAAGATTTCTAGTCTTAGCCTACTTCTACGAAAAAAAATCAGTAAAATATTAATAAAAAAAAGGGAAGAGAACTTAAAAAATAAGTTTTTCTTTATAAAAAATCCATTAAAAAATAATTTTACTCCATTTATCGATCAAAAAGCTTCTATCCAATCTTATTAGAAGTGTTCATTACGGATTTCAGGTCGAGTGAACAACACATTCTGACCACCCCTACGCTTATAACGACCATTTTTTTTTAAACAAAGAACCAGTAAAATATTTTTCACACGTTAAAATCATCATCATAATCGTCGTCTTTTGTTTGGATATTTTATTCAACGACTAATTTCGCACCTTTACTTTAATGGGTGCCATTAATATCAACACTCCATAAACATCACCCTTTTGTATATTACATAAAACAGTGTTTAGAATAATATAATTATAACACTAACCTATGTTTTTTCTTTTGGTTAAAGCGTTAAATACCGATTCGAAGGAATAATTAGCTGTTAAAAATCTAGAAGTTGCCTCCTTACACTTTTCCTTCATCACGCTCCCGAGCACCTGTCCACAATGACAGGTTTTTAGTAAAACACATGCGATGTTTCCGCATCACGTGAACAACTTCCCGTAATTATCTCACATCTGACGTCATCATTTAATTAAGATGTTTTCGTTCGAGACGATAATTTCGAATATTTCTAATGATTTATATTTATAATTTCCTTCGAGTATGGCACAATAATAAACGACACGAAATAATTATTTCATTGTTTAAAATCTAATAGAATGATGCGGGTAAGCTATTTAATTATATAAATTTCGTATTAGATTATATTAAATTTCATAATTTTAATAAGTTTTGTAGCGAGAATAGTGAAGATGTTATCAATTATTCAAGCCAGAATTCCAATCAAGATAATGACAGAGATTCGGTTGCAGCAGCTTCGATAAATTATGTGCTTAATATACTTTTATTATGTGTTGGATTCTACATAATCTACAAAGTAACGTCCCTCCTCTTCCTCCTCCTCCTCTTCCTCCTCTTTCATCTTTTACCATTTTTCTTCATCATTAACATCTCGTTTAGTTGCAGCTTTTTGCTGGCTTTTTATGACACAAAATTAATAATATTTATCAGCCTTTTCAAACTATGTTTTAATTTCTTGTCCACGCTGCATGCAATTCTTGTTGTAATGACAATCGCTGCTTTTATCGATAACTTCAAGTAGTTTATTTTTAGCCAGACTACAGGATATACAAAACTCTAATATAAAAGCTTCCTTGTAAGGCTCTAATCAAAAATAATCTACAAAATTTTCAATTAGAATCTTGTATAAAGTTGTTAAATTAAGAAAAATATCTTCTTTCATTAAAATATTCTTCTCGACTTTCT